GGAGGGGCAATCCCTGCTGCCCCCTGCTGCCCTGCACTGCACAGGGGGGCTCTGCCATGAGCCCTCAGTGGCCCCAGTCACCACTGCCAGAGCTGGTGACTGTGGGGCTTTTTTTTTTTTTAAAGTGCTGAGAGGGTGGGGCTGGAGGAGCTGCAGGAAAACCTGCAGCCACTCAGCTGTGCCTGCCTCTCCCCGGACAATCCAAATCTTTGAATCAGCGTTGAATCAGCTCTGAATCTCCGATTCTGATTCAGCCGAATCAAATGGGGACAGTGATTCGAATCACTGAATCGAATCACTGTCCTTCAAATCGGTAGAATCCAAATCCGAATCAAATACTTCTCTATTCGCACAGGCCTTCATATTAAGTGAAGATGCAGGCTCTGGTCCTTGTGCAATTTGTTCCCTAGCCTCTCAGCTGGGGGAAGGTAGTGTTTGGCTCTTGTGCTCTTTCAGGAGAGAGGTAGGATGTAAATGAAAGGGAGCTTGTTTCAGTTCTGAGGCTTGTAGGCAACACATATACCCTAGGGTCTGATAGCTGGGCTGGGAACTCTGTGGGGTGAGAAAGGATAGCTAATGGTGAGAGGATGGGATTTTGGATTAAACACCAACATCAGCAAAGCTTAGGAAAAGCACGGCTTCTCTGAATATTACATGGCTAAACTGCATAAATTAGAAACACATGGAAATGAGGAGGTGCAATATATGTTGATTTATGCAAATGAAACACACATATCCAAACTTTTTGATGTTTTCTACTTAATAAATATTTTATACAAAAATGTTAACACAAACAGATGATCAGTAACTGAGTAGAAAAACTGTAGGCCTTTCCCCAGCTCTGCCACTATCTTGGTTATATGACCTTAGGCAACTCACTTCTCCCCCTCTCTCTCACACAAGCCTGTTCCCCTGCAAACGATATCAATTGGACTGACCCACTTTAGTGAAATGCTTTGAGATCCATTAATGAAATGCAGTATGAAATTGCAAAGAAATGAAAAAGTATAACTGAATTATTAGTTTAATTGCTCATTATTAGCTATTCATTAGCAATGTTATCCAGGCAGGTTTAGAGGCCCTGTAATAGGCATCCTAGTAACAAAATGAGTTGCTGCAAAGAAAAATTGAATCTCTTTGAAACAATGAAGAGGAGGTCACATTCAAAGTTGGTACAAAGCCACTTTTTCCTACAAGCTTTCACCACAACCCCCCCTCAGTTCTGAATGTGAATCTTTCAATGGCTTTGTTACTTGCATAACTAGTCACAGAGACAAGGTCTGAATTTAGCTGGGAAGGGCCAGTATTACATTAAATTAATGAAGCCATGGAGATATGTTGATTATAATCATACGCCAAGCCAAATTCTACCTTAGTGCAAGAATAGGGGTCTCTGTGGACATTAATGTAGATGCATCTGCTAATACCACCACTGAATTTGGATCAAACAGATGTTTCAAACACCAACTATGATGCTTGCATAATTGAGACATAACAGATTATGTCAGGCAGCTCAATGTAGTTTGAGGCAAGGGAGAGAATTTGGTCCATGTCAATAGCTGAGACATGTTTCCCAGGAGTGCTTGTTTATTAAGAGGTCACTTATAGGCCTGGGAAAACAGGGAACTATTTGATTTGGATTCAGATTCAGCCGATTTGGATGTCAGAGATTCGATTTGGAGATCTGAATTGTTTTTCCAATTCGATTCGGCTGAATTGCTTTGGAAGATTCAGAGCTGATTCAGAGATTTGGCCATAGAGTATAATGGGGAATCAATGAAATAGTTATAACTTTGTTGTCTTTTGGCTGACTCAGACAACACTTTCAAGGATGGTAGCCTCTGCTGAGAGCATATGTACCAAGTTTCAAGGTGCAGGGGTTTCTGGGAAATTGAACCTCAAAGTCCTGAAAGCAAAACTCATGTCATGAGTGTGTGTTAAGGCACAGGGGGTGAAAAATGCAGGGATGGTAGCCCCTGCTGAGGCCACAAAGCCTGACAAGCTTCAAGGAGATAGGTGCAGGGGCTAGGGGGAAACTGCACCCCAAATTCTTGAAAGCAAAACTCATGTCATGTGTATGTGTTAAGCCACAGTGGGGTCAAAACTGCAGGCCTGCTAGCCCCTGTAGAGGCCAAAAAGCCTGACAGCTGTCAAGGAGATAGGTGTGGGGGGAGTCTGGGTTCTGGGGCCCTGCACCTCTAGCTGCTGACAGGCAAAACTCATGTCATGGGTGCTTGTGCAACTGTGTCTGTCTTGGGGCATTGGCGGGGGGGAACTACTGCAGGCCTGACTGCTAGGCCCTGCTGTGGCCACAAAGCCTTCTAGCTGTTAAGGAGATAGGTGCAGGGGCGGGGGGTTCTAGGGCCCTGCACCCTTAGCTGCTGACAGGCAAAACTTGTGACATGGGTGCTTGTGCAATTTACTGTCTTTGTCTTGGGGCAGAAGGAGTTCCCGGCTCTGTATTGATTCTTTCCTCTCCTTAGTCTGTGGTTTTATAGGTGTTAATCCTTGCTCATTAACTTGTTATCCTCACTAACTACTGTATATTGAGCTGGTCCCTGAGTGAATCATGATTGATTGGTAACACAGTAGCTTAGTAGTCAGGCATACAGTAGTTCCCCCTTCTTCTGTTATATTTAATTATCTTTTTCTCTCCCTCCTTAGAGTCTGTGCCCTTCTGAATCTAGATGATTCTTGCATCCCCTTTAATGGGTGTACTGACCATTGTACTGTAATGGCTGTACTGACCATTTCCTTTTAAATCAGACTGTAAACCTCCTAATCACTGTTGCTGCTCTCCTATGGACTCTCTGCAACTTGCTGGCATATTTTTGGTTGCATAAGCCACTGCTTCCTTGGCACCAAAAGTAGGAAATCAGCCCAGAGAGAATCCAGGATTAGCCAGACGATTTATACAGGCAACCCTCACTTAGCGCTCTTAATTGGTTCCTGAAAAACTGAGCATTAAGTGAAATGAGTGTTAAGTGAAACCAAAAGTATTTGATGATCCAAGATGGTGACTACAATCATTTTTAATGATCCAAGATGGCAACTGTGAGCTTTATAACAAAACTTGCTGAGCGCTAAGTGAAATGAGTGTTATAGTGAAATAGTGTTAAGTGGGGATTGGCTGTGTATATAAAAGGTTTCCCCAGGCTTTTCCACGTATCAGACTTGGTGAGTATGTTGGTGAAAACCTCATCAATCTGGACACCTGCAGGAAATGAGCACAGCCTCTCAGCATGTAAAAATATGAACTTCTAGTGCTTGAGCTAAGGGATCATCTCTATTGACACCAAATTGTAGCAGACACACAAACTTCTAAACATACTCCAGGTACTGAACAGAGACAAAGAACTACCCTACTGTATAGGTTATGTATTAAGCATAAACATGGCCATAGAGGTAGGCCCAGGCTTTTCAAAGCCAGAGTGGCCACCAATATGTATTTTCACTTCTGCTTCCTCCTCTGTTGTTTCCCTTCTAACACTTTCTGGAGCTCCCTCAGTACATGCCACAGAATAAACAGGAATACTGATGGGCCCCCCCACCCCCGGAAGGAAAATGTATATAAGGGCTTTGTTATATGTGGCACAAGGAAACCCAATCTGGCCCCCTACCTTGTCCCTCTCTCTCCCCGCTCCTGATTCCACTGCTGGACTCAGCTATGCCCTGCGATCTGGCAAGCTAGCATGGACTTTGCAGGCTGTCTGTATGGAGTTGCACCCCTGGAAGTGGGAAGGTCACACCCCCAGGGATAGGATGGGAAGATGGCTTGGTGCCATCCCCGGGGCAGTAGAGTTCAGGGGATGGAAAATTTTGTTTACACAACAAAGGGTGTGGGAGGGGACACTGCATTCTGGGTACTGTCAGACTGCAGCTTGGGTGGTTTATATGTGGGGAGTAGCTACACATTAATGGAACATGAGCTGGATAACATGGATCAGAGAGAAACCTGCCCTTGAATGGTGTAACTTTAAGCTGCCTAAAATGTGCTTAAAACTTGTTTCAGATGTCAATATGTGGACAGTCCATGGATGAAGAGCTCCAGGAGCTGCCTAAAATTAATCTGTAACAAGTCCCTAAGTGTTGAAACCTTTCCTGAAAAAAGAGAAATGAAAGGGATGTTTTTAGTCTCACAAAAAAATAATTTCCATCTTAGGAAATTTAGGAAATAGTTTCTCACCCTTAACCGGGGGAAGGGAAACCTGCTTCCTCACTTGATTGTGCTCCGCAGCATCAAAATTGACAATAACTTGTTCAACAAAGTGAAACTATTGAAGGTAGTTGTCACACCAAGTTATTTTTAGTTAAGTCAGTTCAAATACCCATAGTTATGAAGCCATGGTGCTGTGGACTTGAGTTGCTCAGATGGTCTTTTGCTACCTGGACTGAGCTCTGCGCTACTGCTGTTGCTACCTGAGCTAACTAAATTAAAGATAGTCTGGGTATGGCTACATGAGATGCAGTTACATCTCCTAAATGCAAGGCAGGCAGGCAGACACAAGGTCAGCCCTAGCAATAGTTACTACAAAGTAGCAAATGAAGTATCAAAATTCTCCCTTCTTGTTTTAATAGGAAATAAGGGATCGTCTTTACTGGTGCCAGAAATTCTCATTTTCCACTGAAGAACCCAATCCAAAGCCTATTGAAATTGCCACATGTCTTTTCACTGACATCAGTGAGTTTGGGATCAGGCTGTTGTGAAATGTGGGTGCCCAGGCAATCAGCAACTCCCAGAACCTAGGAGGTTCAAACCCTAAGCACTGGCAAATGCTGAATTTGTAATGGTGACTACTCCACAGGTATTTGCAGAGGGGTATAATTAGCAAAAAAGCAGTAAAGGAGAGGATATGTTCAGGGGTTAAAGCTAGTGATTAGAACATCTTTTAGGTTTCAGATCATATGAGTTACATAGAGAGATGCAAATAGATTTGAGGGTGAACAATAACATGCACATTAATTGGAGCATGGGAAGAAATGTAGAGAATTCCAATTACCTTAGTTGTTCCTCTGGGTTGTCAGTACTTAGCACCTCCGGAGCGTCCAGGGCTGTCTGCAAATGCACATTGATGAGCGGCTCACTATATATCTCCTTGTTTGGCGAGTCCCTCCCTTCTAAATTGACATCGCTCCTGTTTGGCAGGACCCTATTCTGCGTCTCTGTTACCTCCCTGTCATCAAAGTCCCTCTCCTTCCCCAGCACAAACTCTACATGCAAGCCATTCGTCATCACCAGACCTTGGATTCTGCTGCTGTCACCCTCTGCTTGCTCTTGCTTCCCCAAGTTTCTCTGCATTTCAGTCTGTTTCCACATATCTGGTGCCATTTCCAGATGGTCTGCCGTATGCCTGATGCTGTCATTGGTTGAGCTTGTCTCTTCCTTTGCTCTGGATGGCTCCACATTAATTGAGAGGCTAGGTTTCTCATTGGAGGAATCTGCGGACTTTGTTAGCTGCTCACTCCCATTATTACAGGATTCCGGGGCTAGCTGCAAGCCTGAAGTTTGTGGCTCATTATATTCTGCAGAAGATAATGGAAAGTGAATGTTCTCAGTCATGTTCAGCTTGTTTTCACAGTGCTTACACTGCTTCTTTCCCTTGGTTAATTCAGGCTTAGTATTATCTATAAAGGGAGAGAAACAGAGAGTCATGAGTGTCTGAAAAGATTACAATTAAAGCAGTTACTTGCAAATGGTTTAGAAAGAAACAAGGCAAACATGCGTTCCCTGATATTCTCACTCAGGGGCCATGGTTGGAAGGTGTGACTCCTTGCTAGGGATTGCTGAAATGGGAAGAAAACTTCTGAAAACTCAAACACTCCCTTGAAAATAAAGCCCAGTATGGGGATGACTGTCAAAATCTTCATGCTTACAACCTGTGATACAAGAGGGAACACTTGAAGGAAACAGTGGTGTTATCTAAACACAATGGTCTTCTCTCTGCAATGAGGCCCCTATGTGGCCTCTTTTCCTGAGTAATCCTCCTGGGGAAAAGAAAAGCCAGTGCCTGTGGTTCTCCCCAGTCATATTAATAGGCAGCAGATGCAGATGCCAGACTAGTGTTGGGGCTCTCTGTTCATCTCTAGTGAAGGGGCAAACTTCTAGCTTAGTTCAGGCAGGCAATAGAAATGCATTAGGGCTGTGCGAAGCTTTGGACTCTGATTTGATTCGGTGGAGATTTGGCCCGATTTGGTGGCCAAATCTCTGAATCCGAATCGAATCAGGAAACCCTTTAATCTCTCCAAACTGAATCAGAACCCTCCGAATCAATTCAGAGAGACTCAGAAAGATTCTACGATTTGGACATAGACACAGCTTTAAATGTTTTTCCTACATACCTCTAGGTAGCAGGTGGCTCATGAACATTGTGATGCTGGGGTGCGTGGAGTGTCCCACAGAAACATGGGGGGCTCCCCAACACACTCAGCAGTGGACCCAGAAGTGGACTGCTCCTGTGGGATGCTCCATCCCCCCCGGCATTGCAGCGTTCACAAGCCTCGCCTGGTACCTTCGAGGTATGTAGAAAATACGTTTAAAGCTCTGTCTAAGGCTGAATCACTGATTCCCTTAATCAGTCTCAAATCTTCACATCTGGTTTTGGCCGAATTGAATTGGGGAAAGTGATCTGAATCAACAAATTGAATCACTGTCCCCAATTTGGGCCAAATCCGAATCGAATACTGCCTGTTTTGCACACCCCTAAAATACATGCTTTGTAACAGTCATGTAACAAGGGAGGGGGGAGGAGAAGAAAAAGAAGCAGCTGTGCTGCTGGTCTGGCCACTGCCATGCCACTGGCAGCACAGGCAGTGGTAATACTCCATGTGGCACTGCCTCCTAGGGCACTCATGCATCACCCGTTACACCTCTTTTTTTAAAATGCAGAAATTGATCCCTTACAGAAATGTGCCCTGGTGCCACTGGCTTACAGGAGGAGTCATAGTGGAGTTAAGATATTGTTCACAGTATGCACTATAGAGTACCTAAATATCTTTCTAAGCCTGTGGGCAGGGCCGGCAAACTGGTTGCTGATAGCTCCACACAATGTCTCAAAACAATATCTCTCTAGCTATCACAGCACTGGGTAGGTTTCAGTGACAGCTGGCATTGCTTACTTTCTCAAAGTCTACCACCCCGACCATATCAGAGCTATAATAGAGCAGCCACCTCTTATCTGACAGACACACACAAGCAGATACCTGAAAGACATCCCTGTCTGTCTCAGGCTCTGAAGCTATCTTGGTGGGGGTGGGTACTGCCATGACTCCTACACTGTGTTTCATCATGGCCAGTACCTGCCCCTAAGACTGCCATAGTTCTGGGAAGGAAATGCTGTTAGTCTGTTCTCCTATCTTGGGCTCAACTTAAAACTTCAAAATGCTTAAAACTTGCCTTTGCCCTAACACCTACAAAGTCCTGCTGACATCACTGTCTGCCAACGCTGTTTCATTGTTTCTTTGTAGTCCTCTGTCTATCTGAATACACCTGTTGTCTCTGTCTTGTACGTGTTGTTAGCTCTTTGGTGCAGGGGCTTTTGTTTTGTTTTGGCATAGTGCCTCGCACAGTGGGATGCAGGTCCATGACGGGGGTCCTGAGATGCCAGGACAACATAAATAATAAGTTGCTGTACAATCAGGAGTGGTGTTGGTGTCTGCCATTGCGATGCCATCCCAGAAGTCAGCTTTTGAGGAAGCTGTCCCATCATTGCAAGTCCTGGATTGCTGGTGCCCGGAGATATCAGGGTGCCAAAGGGACTGACACCCACAGGGGGTGGAATAGGTTGGCATGGCTGAAAGGTTGGCATGGCTGAAAGAGGAGAATGGGGTGAAAAGCTAAAATGGTGAGAAGCTTATCAGTAGAGAGAACGGTCTGTACTGCTAGATGTACCTCAGGGGATCCCAGCAGTGACTACACAGGGCTATTTAGAAGATGAGCCAGGATATCATAGAAGGGAATGTACATCTGCCAGTGTGTGTAGGGATAGTGTGTTAGGGTAGGAAACTCATGGAAGCTCAGGGCTATTTGTAAGTACTGCAGCATGGAAGTTCAGGTGCCCTGCAGGCTTCCTGGAACTTCAACAGTATCAGGTCTTTCTCTTAGATTGGTCTGCTGATACTTTGCCTTCTCAGTTAAAAGCCAGACACAATGTGCTGGGGTGGGGGAAGCAGGGGTTGGCTGGAATTTTTTAACACCTTAAAGTTCAGGAGAGATGTGCAAACTTGCAAAATTATTCCTG